CTTGGCTGTTGCGCGTCCATTAATTGGTTTTCTTTTGGACATATACTATTTATACATCACCATATAAGGATTGATGACGCGGAGAAAAGAGAGAGACAAAAAAGAACCAAAAAAATAAAATCATTTAATATAATCCATACACAATTTGTACACAACAACATACGAATATCATCATTTTCTCTTGGCTATTTGATATCGAGTGATGAACACATGACATAACTTATAAATGAATTTTGAGCTTGTCTCGACTCACAATCACTATGTATAAGGTCAAGTAGTTTGTCCGTGTTCATCTCCTAACTATGTCAAGATTTTTCAACTTAGTCATGTCAATGTTGGGTTGAGTCATGTTTTGATGTTAATAAACAAGTATCATCGAAACATGAATCAACAACAAATCATATTTCTCGTATTGAACTCCCCAACATGACTTCCATTAGCATCGAAACATGGTTCAAATGAATTCTTATTCTACCTTCTTGACAAATGGGTCATTACAACTTTAAATTTTACATCAAATGGGCATTGCATAACATCGCATTGACTCCTCGCGATAAAAAATATCATATTCATAGTATTTGTCTGCTTCCTCGAGGAGATTTGATCACACTACATATTCCAATGCAGAAGATCATTAAATCATATACAATATAGAGTAAAATGGAATTGACGCATGTTAATGCAAAATTAATTATGAATTTTGACATAGCAAATTTAAACAATACCATGAACTTTTGGCAAGATTTAGCAAGAAGTCCACGGACATATATTAAAGAATGCTTTTCAATGATGGATGTAAGACTCATGATATAAGATGCTCCTCACAAAGTGTACCGTCTTGACTTTCTTTGGTAATATTTTGGATTTTATTTTTCATCCAATATAAGAAATGCACAACGAATTGATGGTATGTTTCGCGTACTCGACCAACGGAAATTTCATAATTGTATTCAAAAATCAAAGGAAAAAGAATAAAAATGAGAGAGTAGAAAAAAACAATTAAAAGAGAATTAGAGATTGAGTGTAAATTTATTATAACAGTGACCATATATATAGTTTTAATGAGAGTTATAATGGAATACACTTTTAGAGTAGATAAAAGACTCCTAGATAAGATTAACTAATCTTTCAACATTATCAATTACTTTACAATAGTTTTGAAAGGCAGGAGATATAAAATTGGTCTTTTTTGTTACTTCTATTTATTTTGATTTTAATAATAGTAGACTCCGACACAAGTGATTGTAGGTATCGCGGAAATCCCTCTATAAATATTGATTTCGGGCTCAGAAAATAATCAAACGAACAACAGTTTACCTTGACTCGACCTAAGACTTTCGCCTTCACTTTGGACAGCCCTTGTTCTCTTAATCCCCACAAAGAAGAAGAGTGGTGATGCTAGTAATCCACAAAGGTATTGAGAGGAGGAATAAGATATCACAATGGTTGAATTTCACTCACAACCTCACATGGCTTCCCTCTCTCTTGGTTGCCTCTCTTTTCCCAACTCTCCCCTCCATTGCCACAACACACACATCAAAACGGCTGGGAGATAGATACATATATATAGGTTAGTTTAGGTTACCAAATATGGGTCAAGAGATCTCTAAGTGGGCTTCCATATAACCTAAACTAATGGGCCAATTTTCAATTTCATATTAATTACTAAATGGTCCAACTAACCAAATAATCATCTAACCCAGACCCGAGCCATCTAAAAGTGTAGTTCGTCTCCGAGCCGAGCCAAGTCCATGGTGTCGATAAATAATCCGACAACTATTTTAAATCATCTCCCTCGATTATTGGGTATAAAAAAACCCAACAATTTTCATCTTGATGCCCAATAATCTGTAAGCAACCAAAACGCAAAGTTTATACTTGCAAAATCAAGGTAATCCAATAAAATTGGAATCATAGACCTTAACTCGTGTTTCCAACTTGAAACACATACCATACTTGCTCCATGTACTCACCAGGGCTAAGGTCAAGAACACCCAAATAGAAACAAGTATTCACAATGAACAAACAATTATGTGATGAAGATATATAGGATAACACACACATATATCTTTTCAAAATCACGTTCACGCAGAACCACAAATTAACACCTAGTTAATCAACACGGTCATGCACATATGCAGCAAATGTATAAATGGCCCCATGAAAGATCTCATCACACTTATCCTATCCCATTCCGTGTTACTCCCACCTCGAGAACACATTTCTCCTCTTATCGCCCACCATGCTCATTAAACAAATCACTCAACTTATGTCTAACTGGCAAGTCACAATAGATCCTAAACTCTTGATATAATCCTCTATCTCCACATCACTTCTCCCAACCTACATGGATAATGAGACTCCACCTTACAGAAGTGATAGAAATGCCTCTCTCACACTCCATCTGATCAGGATCTCTTTCATAGATAAATGATTCTACATATTTGATCACATCTTCACTCATGATCCAAATGTCACACTCCACATCCTTGTGCATATCACCAATGCACTTCTAGACATCTATACTTCACTTTACCAAAAGATATCCAACTCATTGCTAATGCATCTCAAACTCACTATGGCACATCAACACCTTTCGGTGATCACAAAGGTTACTCTAATCACTAAAACTCCAAAAATTCACAAAGACAACGGCGAAGGTGACACTCACAAAGAAAAAAAATGAAGAAAAAGTTGGTTACTTCACTACACTCACAAAGGAAGCTCATAAAGAGGAAGAAGGTAATCCTAATATGACTGCCTCACATAACTCACAAACCATACAGGCTCACAAAGATAAAGGAGAAAAGCAGCTACCCAACTTTCTTCTTATTATCACACTCTCACACTACTCACAGAGCAAACATAGTATGCCACAAAACTCAACCCACTATGCATGTAAATATATTACACAAAGTAATAAGATTACCCTCAATTCATGCAATTACATACATCAAACATACTGAAAGTGTAATATCAACATTGCAACAGAATTAAGTGACCACATACATGCAGAAAGGATTATACACAGATGCAATGCAGTAACCGGGTTTATTCTCTCAATAAACCTTACTAGGATCACTACTCCACCCTAAAGTCACATCCGCCTCGTTTCTATCCTCATCTTTCTTTTTATTATCATCTTAGGACAATCTCTTTCAACTATGTCCAAATTTTACTACAGTTAAAACATATTTTTTTTTTCACTTGCTTTATGTCAACAATACCAAATAATGACCAAAAGCAAAGTATTGACACATAATTCACACAAAATAATAAAGTAAGTTTTTCTAAGGTCACATGCAATTATATCGGTGTAGAAAAATATGTGACAAATTCACATAAAATTTAAGACATATAATTAACATATAATTTCTTAGTCTAGCAACATGCAATGATTACCCCTTCACGGTAACTCCAAACCTAACGTCACTCCACACTAATTTCTAATGCGAAAAAATAAATAATTAACCTACGCATTAATTTTAACTGCAATAATAAAAGACAAAGAATACGATATCGAGCGAACCACGTCTGAAGGTTCGTAGATATCAAGATATGCGAATTCACCGCTTTAGGAATATCCCTATCCATCCTAAAGCTTCCAGCAACCCCACCAACACAAAACGACATCTGGCACCTAAACGTCCACGGGCAAAATAGTCCAACTTTCACTGCATTGCTCAAAAGTGAAATCCGACAGCATCGCAGAGTCCGTATCGTCACTAGCAACATTCTGTCTAAAGACACCATCACTGGATTCTAGCTGACGAGCCCTCACGCGCCTCGTCGGCGTTCCCATGCACCGGATCCTTTCGGACCAAAACAGATCCATCCAGTTTTTGAAAAATGTGCCAGATTCTGTCCAATTTTCTACCTATTTTCCAGCTCGATTTCAGGCCACTTCCAACCAGTTTTTCACCCAAAAATCACAAATTTACAACAATACAAGCTCTGATACCATTTGTTGCGAAAATCCCTCGATAAATATTGATTTTGGGCTCAGAATACGACCAAACAAACACCGGTTTACCTTGGCTTGACCCAAGACTTTCGTCTTCACTTTGAACAGCCCTCGTTCTCTTAATCCCCACAAAGGAGAAGTGTGGTGGTGTTAGCAATCCACAAAGGTATTGAGAGGAAGAAGAAGATATCACAATAGTTGAATTTCACTCACAACCTCACATGGCTTCCCTCTCTCTCGGCTGCCTCTCTTCTCTCAACTCTCATCCCTATTGCTACAACACACACACACACACCAAAATGGCTAGGAGATAGATACATATATATAGGTTAGTTTATGTTACCAAATATGGGCAAAAAGATCTCTAAGTGGGCTGCCTAACCTAAACTAATGGGCTAATTTCCAACTCCATATTAATCACTAAATGGTCCAACTAACTAAATAATCATCCAACCCAAATTCGAGCCATCCAAAAGTGTAGTTCGTCTCCGAACTGAGCCAAGTCCATGACGTCGATAAATAATCCGACAACTGTTTTAAATCATCGTCTGAATTATTGGATATCAAAAAATCCAAAAGTACGGATGTATGTTCAAAATTATTAGAATTTTTTTTATTATAATAAGATAAGCATTTCAAATTATTTGAATAAATAATGTCTTTATCAATTTATGAAAATGAGTTGCATTATATTTTGAGCAGTTGCATTAACGTCTTTGATTGATGATACAGATAGGGTGATTAATACTTTTATATATATATATATATATATTGAAAAATATTATCCATGACCGTAAAATAAGAGATATTGAAGATGTAATAGCTGCAACACTACCATTTGATATATATTAACTCGTCTATCATGTATCCGTTTATTTTAAACCAATGGATGAAAAATATATTCTTATATTTACAGTAACCACTTGGTAATTACTTTCAAATTGAAAATGAAGTCATTTTTAATTATAAATAATAGAAAAAACTTGTGTAAACAGAAACAAAAATACTTGTTATCTCTAGGCTCTAGCAAAACATGCCTTGTCCCATTTGTTGGATTATTAAAAATATAATTGTTTTTAGTGAAAATAAATTCTTTTTAATTTGTTTCTTAGTTACATAACTCGGTTAAATGTGATCTGTATTCCGGCACCGATCGATACTATTTTCAGTTCAATACTTGTGGCATCAAGAATCTAACAGTTTTTTATCGAAGGAAACATCAAATGCTAAAAGCGATCTCTCTTTGGCGTTCTTCACTCACCCTGAAATCCGTTCAAACCCCAATAAACCCTTCCCTAATTCAACATCCCCCTTCCTGTTTCTTTTCAAACTCACCTGTTTTACACAGAAGACATCACAAAGATAGTGACTTTAACAATGGTGATGATGAATTGAACACGGATCCCGATGGTCCACCGAGAATCTTCGTTGTCCAGCCGAGGCTTCGGCCCGACTCCTTTTTGAAAGCTAAGCTTCATGAAGCATTAAATTTGGCGAATTCTCTTGATGAGCAACGAGATGGGTTTTATGACACCGAGTTCTTGGCCAAAGAAATGCCTCCTCATCTTGTTGTTCAGAACCCCACTGCCAGGGCACCTCGTGCAGGTGGGTCTTTGATTCAATTTTGATTTTCTTGAATGGTTTTCTATTTACTTTTATTAATATTATTATTATTTTTTTGTCCGTGTGCATATGTAATCCCAGTGTGTTTTCGGAAAGGATTAATGTTTTACAGTCGGCTTTTAGGTACTATTCGTAACGAACATTATTCTGTTTAGATATTTTTTACAATTATGTAAATCAGTTGAAATTCTAGCTAGGTTTAACGAATGCAACTATCTACAAATTTAACTTTATTCAGGAACATGTTTTGTCTATGATAAGTACGAGGAAAATTGGAATAAGAATAACAGTGAAGAGGAAACCCAATGAAAAAGATAAACTGCATGAAACTAAAAGCATATAACTGGAATGGATAGTAAGACACGTGGTATTGAGCTCAACTTTTGCGGTTATTCTTGTTGAATTAGTTATAATAAGGCTACAAGCGAGATGTGAGAACTCTCTTAATAAGAGCTATGAAATCTTCCTCTTTAGCCAGTGGAATTCAAAATAGACTAATTTGTATCGAGTCTCGAAGACCAAAAGACAATCCAATGGCATTCACAGGGATCATCATGGAAGTCATGTATGCCCATATGGCTTATCTCTTTTCAATGAAGTGTTGTTGGATATAATATAAGGTATTTACCTGTAATGATATTGCAGATACACTTTTTGGAGCAGGGACAGTGAAAAATGTCAAATGCCATTTAAATGCTTTAGAATCCAAGGTAAAGGATTCGTGTCTGAACTTGGAAATCAATTCTCTTGTTAAATTTGAGTTCAAAGTGGTAGCAAACAATGTGGATGATTTCTGCTCTGATTTTTTTCTCTATTTACAGGATGGAGTGGATGCTATTTTTGTAAATGCTATTCTCACTAGTATTCAGCAGCGAAATTTGGAGGCAAGTTTGCTAAATTGATTGCTTTTTGTGAATAATTTCAGACCTTTTACCTTCTTTGTTATGGACTTTCCTTGGTGAACGGTTGTATTTATTCATTGTATACATTCTTTCACAGAGAGCCTGGGGCAAGCCTGTTTTGGACCGTGTAGGTCTCATAATAGAGATATTTAATGCTCATGCTCAGACAAAGGAAGCAAAGCTACAGGTTATCCGCAATTTCATTGCATTCCTTTTAGTTTGGCAAACTTATAATTATGAAGGGTAACCATATCTTATATCCTCTATCAAAATACAGGCTGAGTTAGCAGCTCTAATGTACAAGAGGAGCAGGCTTGTTCGTGTGCGCGGGTCCGATGGGCGTTATACCTTTGGTGGGATTGGGGAAGCGGAAGTTGTCAGTGCCAGAGGGTGAGTTTTTGCTCAATTTTCCCCGTTGGTGAAGTTCTAAACTGCTTCTAGGAAAATACATTATTCTAAGGAATTATTTATGGTTTGCATGCCGAAGTTTTTTTTTAAGTAATATATAGGTTTAGGAAGATTTATGAAGAGAACTAAAGAAGAGGTTTAAGAAAGAACTGGGATTGCTCAATTTAGGGGTTTCTCATGCACACAATAATGATTGCAGGAGAGGAAGTGGAGGGCGTGGTTTTATCAGTGGTGCTGGAGAAACTGAACTTCAGCTTCAACGACGAAGGTTTGCAATTGCTAATAAACATGCTTGAATTATTATTCTGAGATTTTTGGCGATTATTCGTATGCTGTGTTATTAGATGGTTATTTTTTCTATGATATGGACTTGGTTAGTGGAACTTAAAGCAAATTGTTGACTGAATCATATGGTTATATTTCACTATTCACTGTTTTTCACGCATAAGCATTTTCAATATATATTCGTTATGAAGATGAATTCTAGTATTATCTTGTATCAGTTATCATAGGCATATAAGGACTGAAATTTTACCTTATCCGTGACCAATTTCTTTGGGATAAAGGTTGTCAATGAGATGAATAAAGTATCAATAGGCATATAGTTTATGTTGTTGGTATTATCTTATATTCTTAAGGGATGAAGTTGCTTTTATTAATGAGACTGATATTTTAAGATAAAACTATAAAACAGTAAGAGAGTTCATTAAACTCAAACTATCAATTTGATCTGACGAAGACTCAAACGAGCACACGACTTTTAAGATTGATCTGCTCAGATGAGCTCACGAGGGCATGTTAATGATAATTACATATCGAATAAACACGAAAGATATATACAACATATAAGGGCTTAAACTATTACTTTTGATAAAGTTGATATTTTAAGATAGAACCTCGAAGTTGAAATACATAACATAGATCTGTGTTATCTAGATAGATACAATGCGTTATTGTGAAAATTGGCTGTTGCTTAAGTTAAGGTGTCTTCAAGGAAATTTGTCATTCCTCGTGAATCAAAAGCCCACTGGTTATTGTACATTTTCGTGGATAAAATCTCTATTTGTGAACCTTGGACCTGCAAATGTATAAATATATCACTTTTTGGGTAATTCGATTTTTTAGAATCTTGGAACGACGAAAACACTTGTTATCTGAAATTAAAGAAGTTAGAAGGACAAGAGCTTTGCAACGGGCTGCTCGCAAGAGACAAAAAGACTCACAAGGAAAAGAAATTGCTACTGTTGCAGTAGTTGGTTATACAAATGCTGTAGGTGACTTATACTCATTTTATTTTCCATTGTAAATTTGCTCCTATTCAAATAGGCTTATTTTCTCTCTGGTTTTTCTAATTTTTCCCCAGGGGAAGTCCACGCTAGTTAGTGCGCTCTCAAACAGATATCTTTACTGTGATGATCGGTATGGTAGCGAATCATTTTCGAAACCAATTCTTAATAATGCTTCAGTTTTGGCTCTTTCTCTTACACACACCCATCTAATATCATATTCGTCACTCTCTGCATGTAAATTGTTTTTGCTCTCTTACATAAACTCCTTTGGCAGATTATTTGCAACAGTTGATCCGAAGTTGAGTAGTGTTATTCTTCCATCAGGGTAATGCTAGTTCTTGGTTGAGAAAAAGAATATGAAAACTTTTCTTGGCCTTTTCTGCCTGTATTTTATATTTTCAGTCTGGTAATTTAATTGTAGTGTTGATGCTCAGGAGGAAAGTGCTTCTCAGTGATACTGTTGGATTTATATCAGATTTGCCTGTTCAGGTATCTAAAGTTATATGGCAGATCTTCCTTAATTATTGACACTCCAGCCTCAAAATGACCGAGAAAATTTTTATTATTTTTATTTTTTATTTTTTTTGCAGCTAATAGAAGCATTTCATGCAACGTTGGAAGAGGTTGTTGAAGCAGACCTTCTTGTGGTATGCTCTTAAAGTTTTTCTCCTATAGTTGTATTTTATTTTATTTTTTAAATTAAAACCACACGTGGTGGCATATTTTATTAATAATAACATAAATAAAGTAATACAAAACTTAGGAGGGGGTAGGGCCTTCCCTCGAGCTAACAAAATGAAAGAGAAATTATCCTGTCCATAAACAGGGAGTAACACGTAATAAGAACCTAGGACTAAATCCTAGCTCGTGAAGCCTCATTCCAGATTTAGTCATCATACATCACATATGACACTGTATTTGTCTTTCCTGTCACTTCCTGCAAAATGAATGAAATTCTGCATATATAACTTTTGCAGCACTTGCTGGACTCCAGTACACAAAATCTTGATGAACATCGGGAAACTGTGTTGCATGTTCTTGGGAAGATAGGAGTGTCTGAGGATAAGATTCAGAATATGATTGAAGTTTGGAATAAGGTACACCTCTCTCTCTCTCTCTCTCTCACACACACACACACACACA